GGGGGGGGGGGGGGGCGTGTCACCTCCCCCCCCCCCCCCCCCCCGGGCCTGGCTAGAGCACACGTTTCGCAAGATGCTAGTTCCCTCTCTTGTAATGCATGGCTGAGTTGACGATTTTTTTGGCATGGGGTCGGAAAGACAAGTGAACATTTCAAGTGTTTATGTCAAAATCATTAAATGGTCTTTCTGCATGCCTCTTTGTAAAAACATGGTGCAGTTGTCTAATATGTAGCCGGATAGCTTGAGTGCACATAACAAATGCTTATGCGCAGATACTTGAGAGTTACTTCCAGCCAGCAATATTTACAATTGTATAATTATAATTAGACAACGGAAGAATCAGGGATGTCTTGGATGAACATGCAGTTTTGATAGAGCTGTTCAGCATAAAGTTACTTCAGTTTAGGTTTCTTTTTTAGTAAGACTTGACAGATAAGGGACGGATCGCACTGGACTTATAAGAGGCATACCATAAGTAATGGGATGGGGTGAATGGATTGGGGTGGAGAGAGAGGTTGGAAAGATGAGGGTTAAGGGTAGCTTACAGGAGATCTGAGAAAGCTATATATTGTATGAATAAAGTTAGTTTGTTTAAGGTTTCCCCGAATTTACCCGTGCAAAATTTCTTCTGTGCTCACAGAAACCTTGGTAGTGTAAACCATGCCTTACTTCAATAACCTCAGCTCAATTTAGGGGAGTGGTCATTATTTATGACGGGGGGTGGCACCGAAGAGAAAAAGGTTGGGTGAACAAAATTGTGAGTGAATGAAAGGTTGGGTAAATGAAAAACTAAACAACTCAAGTGTTGGGTGATAAAAATGTATTGTCATTTCCAAAGCACTTTTTAATGGTTGGATTATCAAAAATGTTTGCCAACGAGCATTTTCAGTGTTCCGCCCCCCCTCCCCACCATAAATAATGACTGCTTCCCAGTGGTGCTTTCCAAATTCCAAAATATATTCCTTTATATTTTCCTTTATATATATATATATATATTTTCAGGTAATCGTGAAAGTACTAGATCGGCACACGACAGAGAACGATTCTTATGTCACCAAGCTTGAATTACGTCATCCACGGATCATTCGCACGAAAGGAGGACGAACAATCAAACATGTCGTAGACCACAACTTGGAAGAAAAACTCGCTCAGCCATTTTTCTTCGTTCAGAATCCCAACGGAGAAGTGACTCATGTGTTTTATCCACATGATGATTCTGCTGACCTTGTTGGAATGAAGAAAGGTAAATTCATATGTTTAGAAAACGAACACTAATCCTTTATTTTAATATGTTCCTAGGCCAAATCCTTACCCTTATCTGGGCATAATACTAATCCGTATCTAAACCCTAATTCCAACCATCGTCCTAATTCTTACTCCAAACCTAATATCTCTCCTGACACCATTCCTTACTCTTATGCCCCGTTTACATGAGACCGGAACGAAGTCAAACCGGGACCATTTCGTTTCATGTAAACATGTTGCCAATTTCAATTTTCATTCCGGTTTGACTTCATCCCGGTCTCATGTAAACGGGGCCTTAGGCTCAGTGTTGTAACGAGTCGAGTCATTGACTCGGACTTGAGTCGCTATTTTGAGCGACTCGACTCGAGTCCAACACGAAAAATGACTCAAATGACTCGAAAAATGACTCAACAGCCCCAAATGACTCGACTCGGACTCGACTTGCTGATTTTGCCTTAAATGACTCGAGTCAACTCAGCTACAACTTGTAGAGAATAAATTCATAAAAAATATTGTGATTGTATTGCTTGAGAAGAACAATGAGCCCTGTGATCAATGAGAACTTCGAAACTTTATCAGAAAATATATGGGATTTGCATAGAATACAGTATATTCCTGACGGGCATGCCTATATTACATTTCTGTTTTTAGAAACAACGCTAATGCCACAGTTTTTAAAATGGAATCTCAAAATTTTTTGTACTTATACTAATTCTGTCAGGCTATTTTCATTTCCGGTATTTATGATGATGATGATTTTATTGATCCATCTTTAGTTTAAAAATACAATGGATTTACAAATATGTCTATTAAAAGAGAGGAGCATAACTAGACATGCAATAATATTTACAAACTATCGGAAATTTATATATATACAATTTGGAGTAAAAATTTAAAAGTCTAGGAAATTATTAAAAAGTTAATAAAAACAAAGTTAAGTTTTAATGCAACCCCTTTCTCATTGCTCGTGGGATAAAACTATTTCTGTGTCGTTCAGTGCCTGAGAAAGGTGCGTATTGAACTATACCGTCTCTACGCCTAAGATTATAGTTATGTTTATTATGTTCCATAGTTCGTTGATAAAAGATATGACTTGGATCACCTAAGATAGTATCGAGTTCTCTCGATGTGGCTTCAATTCTTCTCTCTTCGAGAGTTGGCAGGTAACCATGCGGGAGGCCAATAATTCGTAGACTCCTCTTTTGCACACGTTCCAATTCGTCCTTTAGATATCGTGGCAGACCACCCCACACTGGAGAACAATATTCAAGGATAGGCCTGATTTTAGTTAAATAAGTGGTGAGACCCACTTCGACTGGTAGGTTCGCTCTTCTACATTCTCGTAGGCAGTACAGGTTTTTAGCGGCTTTGCGAGTGGTCTCCTCGACATGTTTATTCCATTTCAGATCCTTTTGAAACCAGATATGATAGCATCTCCTATGATAGCATCTCCTATATGCAGTGGTAGAGGGGGCGGTGCTTCGGTGAAGTTAATCCACATATCTTTTGTCTTTTTGGCATTCAGTTCCATCTTATTTTCCACAACCCAATTTTGCACTGAGTCCAGAGCGCTTTGCAAATCGCTAGATTCTCCTGTTCTTATCGACGTATCCATGGTGCAATCGTCCGCATATTTGGTTGTGTTGACACATGCCTGTTCAGAAACATTTTCCTCCATATCGTTAGATAGCAGATCCCTGAGGGACGCCGGTTGGGCATGATGCAGTAAAGGATAGTACACCTTGGAGATTTACCTGTTGTGTTCTTCCCTCCAGAAAACTCATCATCCATAACCAGAAACTCCTTGTTACATTCATATCAGCAAGCTTGTCCAGAAGGATCTTATGGTCGACGAAGTCAAACGCCTTCCGGAAATCAACAAATAGGGCGTGGACACCTTGTCTACCGGTTGAGGAGTTGTCCGTTGAGTCGAACCAGTTCTGAGATATGGAGGTAAGGGCAGACACGGTAGAGTGACCGCTCGTGAAAGCATGCTGGTTTGTTTTGATCTTGAAACTGGATTTATTGAGTTGGAGCTGTAGCTTCTCGATAACTTTTGCTAGTTGTGGTAGCACGGAAACTTGGTGGAAGTCACTATCTAGGTCTGTGGGTGGACGGATCTTTGGTATGGGACTGATGATTGCATGCTTGTAAGAGGTGGGATATTTGCATTGAACTAATGCTTGCAACCACAATATCGTGGACCACTGGTGCTAATTCTTCTGCGTACCGTTTAAGACACCATGCAGGGATATTATCCGACCCAGTGGCTTTCCTAGAATTTAGGTGTTTTAGGACGGTTTTGACTTGGCCAATGGATGGTAGAGGTGGGTGGCTGTCCTTGAGCAAATGCTCTACCGCTTGAAGTCTGGGAAGATCTGGTTGAATTCCTAGCCAAGGCTTAGTAAAACTTCTTTGTAGTCTGTCAGCGATTTCCATTAGGTCAGCGTGGTCAGGCGAGGACAGAGATTGTTGATTTTCGGTTGCTGCCGCTAGCTTGTACATCGTTTTATACCATTTGGCGGGATTGGATTGATGGCTGCCTTCAGCCTTGGATTTGTAGTACATAGCTTTAGCGTTGGATATCAGCTTGGTTACTTTTGCATGTAAACTTTTATACTTTGGTGTCTCCCCTTTCGTATATGTTCTCTGTCTTGCTTTTATCAACGCTTTAATATTGGGGGTCATCCACGGTTTGTCCGTACAGTGTGCGCGAACTGTTCTCACGGGTATGGCTTCAACAAGCATACAGATAACGATAGAGTTAAAGACTGAGACGAAGGGCTATATAATTTCAATCTCACCTCATGTGGTCGTACTTAATATTGACTAGAACTGTGATATTGGTACAGCCTATAGCTGCCCAGATACTGTTATTACATGACTAAAGTAATTAGTTTAAAACGCAAATTTGATTACTAATTTCCGACTGCAAACTAGGGTAGCTCAAGTCAAGTCTAGCAATTGACTCGACTCGACTTAAACCAGTGACTTGACTTGACTCGAGTGAAGCCGCTGACTCGACTCGAGTGAAGCCACTGACTCGACTCGATCAAAAACTGAAATGACTCGACTCGACCTTTGAGTGACTCGACTCGTGACTCGACCTGTAGGTGACTCATTACAACACTGCTTATGCTAACACTAATCCTAACCTGAGCATTTACTTAATATTCTAAAATAAATAGAATGTTAAACTGCTTATCTGAATATTTATCCTTTACGCACCTCAACAACAATAACAATAACAATAACAATAACAATAAATTATCTATTTTGACATATCATATGTAAAACTAGTAAGTTAACCATTTATCACTTACGGTGATAGACGGTGTCTGATAATAACTTCTGGCCCAAGCATGTATATGCGAGAGAATGGATTTCAAAACAAAAATGGTTAAAAAAAAGACTGATGGTGTCTAGACTGGAATCGGTTGTTTTAATGTCAGATAATAGGTTTTACAATCATGGCAATTTGGGTTTCTTAATCAGGCTTACTGAACAGTTTTGTTACACGAGTTATTACATCCTTTGTATGTTGGTACATATAGCGTTCAGCAATGTCGGACATAGTTAATAATAATCTTCGATTGACGTGTTGGAACTGCAGCGGTATTTTTGGTAGTTTCACATATGTTAAAAACCTTTTACAAAGATCAGCTATTCTAGCATTGAGCTAACATTGGCTTTATGATGATAGCTTACCATTTCTGAGCTCTCTGGACCCAAGGTTTAAAGTCTATGCAACAAGTAGTCCATTGAATAATAAAAATGTTAGGTAGAGACGTGGACAGGGGGTGTAGCTCTACTTTGGAGAAGGGAATTAATTGTTAAAAAATGTGGAGCAACTGATAGAATAGTGGCCATAAAAGTCAAAACAAACGATAAACATTGGGTTATGATATGCAGTATCTACCTACCCTCAACAAATAGTACCATGGGCGACTTTTGCCTGCAGTCACTTGAAGAACTAAAACATTTCTGTCTTAAAGAAAGTTTTAGTGATCTTATCATCATGGGGGATTTTAACGCGCATATAACAGGCGAAAGAAGTTGTCGTCCAAGTAACTCGCGTGGAAAGTTAGTGCAACAACTTCTAAGTAACTTAAATCTAATTGCAGTCAATTTGAAATCAATCTGCAAAGGTCCGGTACAGACCTACGTATGCTCTACCGCAGTGTCAACTATTGATTACATTTGTGTACCTAACACGTTGTTTCAAAGCATTTCTAATGCCGAGGTCTTGGATATACACCCAGAGAATGTAACTCACCACCTTCCAGTCACGGTTACATTAGATATCATGTCGTCATCCCCTAAGAAATTAAAAAACTATGCCCCACCTCTGCGAATTGCATGGAAAAAATGTACATCAGACAATATCGAAATGTTCCAGAATGAGCTAAATAGAAAACTTGATTCCTTAGATGGCCCTTTATTACACACTTCGGACTCTATCGATACATATGCTAAAGAAGTTACAGACTGCATGGTGAATGCCAGTGTGGTTTTGCCTCACATCTCGTATAAAAGCTACATAAAGCCCTACTGGAACAATAAGTTAAAAACATTAAGAAAGGAAGTGAATAGAAAATTTATAAAATGGGCAAAAGATGGGCGCCCTAGGGGACGACACAATCAAATGTATGCGGAATATAAAGAAGCAAAAAGGTTATTTAGACGTGAGCAGCAACGTTGCATACAAGAATACTCACTGAGAGAGTATGCTAACATGTCAAGTACGTTAGAGCAAGATCAAAATAGATTTTGGAAACTTGTTAACCTCACCAAGAAAAATAAACGAAGTGACGTTAATCTTGAGATAGGTGATGAAATGGTGCATAATCCGCATAAGATCACTGGTTTGTGGGCGAATTATTTTGAAGATTTGCATGAGTTTAAACGATATGAAAATGAAAACATCTTTGATAGTGTTTTCCTGAAGGACATTGAATCTGAGATTCGTCGATTGGATCTTCTCGAAGATGAGAGCGACACTGTTCTCGCCCAACCGATCACACTCTACGAGGTAAATCAAGTAATCTATGACCTACCGAACGGTAAATCACCCGGCTTCGATAAAATTTGTTATGAACATGTGAAATATGGTGGCCCTAATCTTCTACATCACATAGTACTTTTGTTCAATGCGATTGTCTGCGTGGAGCACATCCCACTCTTCTTTAAGTTAGCTGTAAAAGTCCCAATTCCAAAAGATATCACAGGAAAGAAGACATTTGATAATCATCGTGGAATTAGTCTAATGCCTGTGTTAGATAAACTTCTACAAAAACTGGTCTTAAACCGAATTCTAGCTGTGCCTGATTGTAAAATACACCGACTTCAGGGGGCATACCAAACGGAGCAGAGTGCATTAACAACTGCATTTATGATTGACGAATCTATCAGAGACTGCTGTGAAAATAAAGACAGGGTTTACACATGTTTTGTTGATATCAGCAAAGCGTTCGATCGTATGTGGATAGACGCAATGCTGTACAAGTTTACCATCATATGGGAATTACTGGTAAAACGTGGCGTATTATAAAAAACTGGTATACCAACATGAAAGAGGTTATTTGTGTAAATGGTTTGTATTCTCGTGAATACAATATATTACAAGGTACTAGACAAGGTGGTATCATATCCCCCTGGTTATTCTTAGTCTACTTTCAATGACTTAATATCTGAGTTAGAAACCAGCAAGTGGGGAATTTCTCTGTATAATATCTATTACGGTTCACCAACTTTTGCCGATGACATTACTCTATTGTGCCGTCTGAAAACAGCGTTAGATCATCTTTTGGACATTTTAAACACATTCAGTCGGTCTTGGAGAGTTACATTTAACATTAAGAAAACGGTTACTGTGGTATTTGGAGAGAAAGTGAAAAAAATTCCAACACCGGAAAGAAATTGGGTTCTAGGTAGTCTATCTATTAAAGAAGTGCTAACGTGGAAAAATTTGGGTATCATATGGAACCCAAACAACAAGTTTGACTCAACAATTGATATCGTGCTGAAGAAAGGCTATGCAGTAATTGATATGATGGTAACTATGGTGTTTCGGCATGGCGGCCTGAACCCCAAGGTAGCAACTAAGCTGTGGAAAGTATTGCCCTTCCGCATCTGCTGTATGGTTGTGAATTGTGGTACTTAACTATGAAACAGCTCTCTAAACTTGAGAAAATCCAAAATATATTTTGTCGGATAGCACAATCACTACTTCCAGGCATTTCAGGATCAGCAGCAAGAGGCCTAATGAGTCTTGGCAGAATAGAAACGAACATCAGTAGGAAAAAGCTGTATTTTTTGGGTCGTATCATCAACTCCAGCTCAACACAACCCTTCAGGAAATTATTTGTACGTCGGTTAATAAAATGGAAGTGGAGATGTGACGCTGTAGATGGATTTATTCCCGATCTCATTAGAATTTTGGAAAAGTATGGCCTTATGACGTTCGTGACGGACTTTATACGAAGAAAAAGCAATGGAAGAGGATTGTAAATGAAGCTGTGCAAAGAAAAGAAGAGTTGGCTTGGTCTGAAAAACTAAACCAAAAACCGGTTTTAAAGCTGTATATGCAAGCACATCAACATTTAAACATTAGTTTTTGGTATGAAATCTGGGATTTTGTTCCATTGAATTCAAATATCGTAGTCGATGTGTTTCGTCTGCTTTGTGGCTCTCTTAAAATCGATGGTATCAGGATTGAGAACTATAACTGTTTGCATTCGTTTTATTGTTCCTTCTGTCAAAGGTGTGTGATCAATCCTGTACATCATGCTCTTCTATATTGTATGAACACTGCAAATGTAGTAGATTGACTAATAAGTTAATTAGTAATAGGTGTTTATTTTGACATGTTTAGGAAGTGACATATGATATACTAAATTGGTTATTGTTTTGACGAGACGGCGTTCGTTCATATATTTTTTAAAAGGTGGTTCCTTATAGCGAAGCGAATTCACTATTGTAAATTACAGATTAAATAAAACGAAACTGTGTGCGACTCATTTAATTTTGTGTAGTTGCCAAACACTTTGTGAGGCACTCTGCTACACAAACCAGAGAGAGTATTTGTGGACGTGGACCACAGATAACTTATCTGGAGATATAATGGTACTTCTTAATTTCTTGGACGATGACCAATTTGTTCAGTTAATTACTGGTGGTAAGCCGGAGAGTTTAACCACAATCATGGACAGTCTGCAACACTGAGTTTTGGTTACGATGCGCTGAGTACATTTCTTTTTGCATGCAAAATTCACTCTTTGAACCCTTTGGGTGAGAGGTTTTCATTGACTGTAGTCGACATTGTGTAACTGATATGCAAATTAGCTTAAAGACAACTTTCTTATATTTTATCTATATAATTAATTAATTAATTAATATTTAAATATTTTGTAACTCTTCAGTGATGGAGGCAATAAAAGATTTTACTCGACTCGACTCGTGACTCGACCTTTGAGTGACTCGACTCGTGACTTGACCTGTAGGTGACTCGTTACAACACTGCTTATGCTAACACTAATTCTAACCTGAGCATTTACTTAATATTCTAAGATAAATAGAATGTTAAACTGCTTATTTGAATATTAATCCTTTACGCACCTCAACAACAATAACAATAACAATAACAATAACAATAACAATAACAATAACAACAATAATAACAACAACAACAACAACAACAACAATAACAATAACAATAACAACAGCAATAAATTATCTATTTTGACATCATATGTAAAACTAGTAAGTTAACCATTTATCACTCTCGACAAATCTTACGCTGAGAAATTCGAATTTGGTTTCAGAATGTTTCCTTGCCACCTACTTATTTTTGTTAATTTCTCCTCCTTTTATTTCGAATGTGGAAAGTCAGAAATAAATACTAACGATTATTGCTTTATCGTTCCCCTTAATTAAACCTGTTGTTATGAGTTTTTTGGTCACACAATTTATAAGGTTGGCATTTTTACATAGTTTCTTCAAACTATTGTTGACTTTAAGAGGTTGACTATCATTCATAATTCATACATGTATGTGTCATATAAATTTAAACAGAAGGCAAAGGCTTATAAATATTTATTTCAACCCTTTACCAATCCTAGTTCTAGAACTTTTTTCATTTTTCCCAGGTGTCGCAAGTGCCTTTCACCTCAAGCTCCACCCAGACTTCAAGATGACGTCATTCAATACCGAAGAAGAAGACAACTCCGGTGTCCACGTGACCTACTATGACGTCATCCATCGAAACATCACTCACGTCGACTTCACAAAACAATGGAACGGCGACGATTACTCGAAACATGCAGACGGGCGACCTGTGGAGGGCAAACAACATGTTAAAAGTCGCTACAACTCGGCTGTAAAGATTGAAGACAACGCCATTAAATCTGTAAAGAGAACACATTTCTCTGAGTTGCATGACGAAAACCCATACAAAAGGCCCTTAAATAACCCTGATTTTTAATATCAACCTGATTTTAATATGAAAGCATCCGGAGAGAGCCACCTTAACTTGCTTAGCTGTTCAAGGAAACCTCGGCGGAGTAAAAGGTCCTCAGGAAATGAGAAAGCTGCGTCCTCACTGGCTAATCTCAAACAGGATACTTTAACTCACAGCGATGTGCATCGCGTGCGGTGGTCGGACATCGGTAATCAAAAGAAACCAACCCGAACATTTTACGAACTGCTCCGATGTTATTCGGATCCTTCCGTGAAGAAGAACGAACTATCACAGTGTATTAAAGAACTTCATTATCTAGCCCGAGCCGACGACGAGACTCACCGAAACATAGCCGAGCTCACTTTATCGCGCAGCCATCAGAACTTTTCTACATGGTCGGGGTTAGTCGGAGCTCTCGTTGTTAAAGGGGACTATGAAACACAGAAGGTATTAACAAGGGCACTTTTGTCCGAGGACCCGCGGCCCCTTACTGATAAAGAACACTCGATACTGCTTGAGGCAGTGTTCTTTATTCCGGCCGGACCTCTGTACCCGGAACTATTACAAGCGCTGCTATCTCTTCATAAAAACAACAGTAAAAGTGAGGAGGTCACCGTCCGAGCAATGTTGGTCATGTCGGGGTTGGTTCGTCGTGTTCATGAAGCTGGCTATAACAGGTCGCTGTCTGATAGTATTGCACAACATCTTCACCAGAGCTTTAAAACCCATCCAGCCCGTTTCCATGACGACGAAAGCGAATCACGCGAGACATACCTTCGCAACCATATATGGGCTTTTGGTAACTTAGGTCATGCGTCATCTCTAAACACAATTATCCGTCATTTGGACCACGACAGCTCCGGGATCCGTTACTCCGCTGTATCCGCGTTACGCAAACTTCCATTCCATGACACCGACCATCACTTACTGCGGACTCTGAAGCATGACGAACACGTGACTGTAAAAGCTGGCGTGATCGAAGTGTTCCTAGAACGCCGACAGAATATTTCGGACGAAATGCGTGAAGCAATTGAAGACGCATTTTGGTCAGCCGAGGATGGAGACGAACTCGAGTCAAAGATTACAGAATTTCTCGCCATACATGGCGACGACTCACATCATACTATCAAACAATTACGAAAGCGGAGAGCAGCTATACGAAGAAAGAAAAGGGCGCTTATCCCAGCTTTGAAACCAAGAGAGTTCTCCTTGGGACCAAGGCGGGAATGGAGGAAAGGATTTGGAGGCAGGATAGCTGGAGCTGAAGCTGTAATGAGGTATACTTGTTAGGGATAAAGCCCTGGGAATGCCAGGAAGTATCGTTGCAAACATTTGAGAACTTCGGCATCGGCTGATTTATTCAGATAAATCACTTAGTTTTACCTTCAGAAAATATTGTTGTCGTAACAACTCAAAATCTTAAATGCTTCCCTCTTTGTCCACCCTCGAAAAGCTTGTTGCGGAAACAAAATTTCCTTTGAAAAAATGAAAACAAAATTTTGAGAATTTCTCAGAATTTTTCAAAAACATTGTTTTTTTTTTAAGTTTCCAATCTTCAACCAGTATGGACATGCACAGCCACTATTTGTTGTAATAATCCCATTTTCAAATGAAATTCTGAGAATTTTCAGAAATATTCTCAGAGTCTTATCAAAATCTTTGCTTTCTTTCTTAGTTTTCAACCTTGAACGGCTATGCGTAGACATTCCACATCGTGTATTTGTTTTAATTGTAAATGGTTACATAGAATTGTCGTACGCTACAACCTTGTCTTACGCTTATTATGTTTTTGGAAAACGTTTCTTGTTTTACACACCTTGCAGTTTGCCCTGAGCCTAACAGTAAGGGCTCTTTTAGATTATTTTAGGTTCCACTCATTGATTTTTGTTCAGGTTCGTAAACCAAGTGAAACTACAGATCAGCATCTTCGGGGGAAAGTTTGAAGTAGACATGGATAATTTAGCTCTTCTTCGTGCTCACGTGATCAAGTGGAGTTTCGATGTGGTTAAAGGCAAAGCCGCGTTCAAAATGTCGGCGCGATTTAAGAACGACATCCCGAAAGACTTAATCCATACAATTTCCGACAATGCGGACGACATTCTTGCCAGTGTTGATTCAATCACCAGTATCTTCGCGAAACACATTCAAAACTTTATAAACAAACTAAGAAACTATCTACCGTTGGATTCAAACGCGTTTCTAGAATTCATCTTAAGAGCAGCCGAGTTTTTGAGGCGTTCTATTCAGGCTACGCGATTTGGAAAGTTTTTCAGCCAAATTGGTAAAGGTCTTAAAAACACGTTGCGTGTCAACGGACTTTGGAGGAAAATCGCTAGTCTAGTTGACAAGCTTTTACGGAATCTCAAAAACTTAAATTTATCCAACGGACCATTTGGAGAAGCATTTCAATTTTTAAAACATTTTGTGGATCTCGTTTCTAGAATTAACTCTCAGCTCCCTCGCGGTTTTCCGGTAAATTTCAACATCAAGGAATTTCTAGGACACATCTCTGGGCGATTTGATTCGATCTGTGATGCGGTCTCGGATTATTTCAAGAAATTGGGTGTAAGCGTTCCAGGAAATTTCTTTGGAATGCTACATTTTAAGCTCACTTTGCGTTTCCCGATTTCCTTGGATAAGTTCAGGACCGTCACGGTGAGGTTGATAAATTTCGGAAACAATTTTCTGGAAATGCTTTCCGTGTTCCGGGAAATGATCAGGATTGAGTTACCGAGAATTCACCTGCCTGGATTCGGCCTAAACACCGGCGGAAACCGATTCTTCGATTTTGGGTTATCTTTCGATTGGAGGATCAGGTTCAATTTTAAGATCGACTTTTCCGGGCCAGATTTCGCAAAACTGCAGAACTTTTTCCGTTATTTAGCGGAAATTTTCCAACACCTAGATGGCCCAAATATAGACTTGGAAAAATTTTTCCGGGAATTTTTACCCAGTTTGAGAAACGAGTTGGGTTCTATGGACTCAGAACTTTTCCAGAATACGACAGGTTTGAAGATTGGGCAATGGTTCCGAGAAATTATGAAACATTTTGAGAATATTCTTGGGCAGCAAGATTGGAATTTTCTAGGCTTTAGTGACACTGCAAAATTCTTAGAAGAATTAGGAAAAGAGGCTGGAAAATTTTCTAAGAAAGCCCTCAAAAAGGTTTGCAAGTTTCAAGGATTCATGTTGAAGTCTTCCGGAAAATTACAAGAATTTGGGGAAAATTTGGAAAAGGAAATGATAGGTGCGATCAGAGAAATCGAAGACGAAGCACAAGCTGTTATCGCAGAGGTCGTCAATGTCACATTATTTGTGGATAAACTTATAGACGATCTCCAAAAAAATCTTTCAAACACGGCGAAGAAATTTGTAGATCAGTTTTTAACAAAGTTGGAAACTTCGCTTGAAAATGTTAAAGAACTAGCTGATAATGTTGCGGAGTTTACTAGCAACTCGACCGACAAGCTAGCTGGTTTCTGTTACAAAACGGCTGACGTATCGGGCGAAATTTTGGATAAAATTCAGTCCGAAGCCGAAAATGCTGCGAAAGAACTAGCCGAGTTTATTACTACGAATTCTCAAGGTATTATCGGCCTTGTAAACCGTTTCAAAACTGTCGTTTCAAACGTAGAGAATTGGCAGAAGCAAAATTTACAAAAACGTTTAGGAAAGTTTGCTCGCGTCGCCGAAACGCTTGAAGAATTTTTATCGTTACTAAAAAACGAAAACAAATTTTTGAAAAGTGTGTACAAAGTCTCTAAGGGTATTAACGATGTTGTAAAGAACTTGAATCGACTACCCGAACATGCCGAAAAAGCCCGACAGGCCGCCGATAAGGTCGCCGACTTTGCTACGAACGCGAAGCGATGGGAGACCGAAGTTAAGAAACTTAACATACAAAAGAAATTCAAATTAGACTTCGACGACAAATTGCGAAAACTCTGCAACGAATTTCAAACTTTAGCTCAGGATGCCGTGAAGAAAATCCAAGGAGATAATTTGTTTAGAACATTCCGTGAATTCGTGACAAAAGAAACAGACGCCTTGATTTCTCGCGGGGTAGGAAAATTAAACTTACTACAAGAACCATTAAAGCGAGTGCGAAGCGAGCTTGAAGAGGTTTCAGAGTCTGTCAGCGAAGTCGAAGCGGTTCTGATTGAAATGAAACCATTTTCTAAAAACTTTTCACCGATTTTAAAAGAAGTCAGTCAACTACCCAACTGTACGGAAATTGAGTTTATATTTGATAATATTCTCACCAAATGTGGTAAAGGTGCAAAGGCATTTGGTAAACAAGCTTATGGGGAATACAAGGATTTGAGGTCCGAAGTCAAAGCATTCTTAGAACTTTTACCAGACGAATGGGAGAGTTTAAGTTTACGGAAATGTGTCATAGGCGGCACGTGTCTTTCCGAGGCGTTCACGAAACAGGCTCAAGGTGTTTCAAAGAAGATTAAGACATTGAAAAAGAAATTTGATAATAAAGAATTGCTTGAAAGCTTGGAGCCTTGTAAAACTGCCGTGGAAGACGTTTCTGGTGTCGTGGAGAAAGTGAAGAGTATTTCAGTATTGGTGGAGGAGTTCTCTTTGAAAGATGAAGTGTTGAAGATTAAAGATTTGGCTCGCAGGATTACTGGGAAGTTTTCAGGGGAAAGTGATAGCCAGGTTTGTATGTTTTTAACATCCTTCGTTATTATGCCTCTCTTCCACTGTCTTACTCCTATCTTACTTGCTTTACCTGACTTCACCTCTGGACTTTACCTTGTCCTGCGTTGCCCTAACCTTAACGTAGCCTTGTCCTATTCCTGGCCATTTTTGCTTTAGCTTACCTTAATTAACTGATACGTTTCCTAATAGCTTACTGTATACCTTTTTTCTTATCTTTTCTCACCGTACCAGACAATATATTAAAATACCATCTCAAGCAAATTAATAATTTATGAGTAAATCAGCCAACCATATTTCTTTATTTTGCTGACTTGATAATAGTGGATACCTGGTGATGTATGTTGATCCAGTCCTAGGAATCAATCAAAGTTAATTCATTCCTTGGACTAGATCAAAATTAATTCACCTCACTTTAAGTAGTTATTTATTCGTATGAAATGTCATTTCAAATCCTCCAATTCAGACTGGACTAGATTTCAAATCCTCGCATTTTGATCCAGTCCTCGGCTTCGCCACGGACTTGACCAAATTTTGCGGACTTGAAATTTAGTCCAGTCCTCATAGTCGGATTTGAAATATTACATACTATACCATACCATACCATACCATACCATACCATACCATACCATACCATACCATACCATAGCTTGTCTTGGTTTACTTTCCATACCTTAACTTACCATACTATACGACATCATACCATGCCATACCATACCACACCATATCATACCACAACATTCCATACTTCTCATCCTTGCACCCTTACCTTCCCAGGTCCAAAAACGCTCAGTCAGTGACCTCGCCAAGAAAGTAAAGAACCTTGCTCAACACATCAAAAAAGCTAAAGAAACCAAAGAGAAAGTCGAACAACTTGTTGAAGAAGTGTTTGGCAAACTAAAAAGCATCTATTCGGATAACATCGAGCCATTCCAAGACAACCTAAAAGACGTTCAACAAAAACTGCAGTTATCTTATGACCTGAGTAAAAAATCAAACGTCATAAATCCAACTTTGCAAGCGGTAGACACAGTAGTGCGAGCAATGACTGACTTTACTGAAGTTGCTCAAAATGTCGTTGGCCCGTTAGAGGGAACTATTTTAGACGTACTTTCAAAAACCTCCGACTTCACCGACGTTTTTGACGATAAACTTAAAGGCTACGGGAAAAAAGTACAAAAAGTTTCGGACGAAGTTAACGGCTTTCTGGATAAAATTATCTCGTTCTTGAATACAATTCAATTACGTCAGAAGGGGTTGGATATCCGGGACTATAAACCCTGGAACCAATATCCGTACTGTTCGGAAGAAGTGTGCCTCAGGTTACTCCGCAGATCATCCAAACTATATCTGAAGACCGTTTTCTCTTGGAAATTTGCGCATTTGGACGATTTGTCTTCCTTTTCCAAGTCGGGCAAGTGGCTAGTACCCGGTCTCTTTGATGACTACAAAGTGCGCAGTATTGCGCCATTGTCTAAGAACGAGATGGTACTGGGCATGCGCGGTGTGGCTTCAAATACTGACAAAACTTCGTTATTGGTTGTGGTCGATATAAGGTCATCAAAAAGTCAAATTGTTAAGATTATTCAACTTCAGCAAAACGGTCAGCCTTTCACAGGCGATATGGGAGGCGTGGCAGTCGTAAAAGATACCTACATTTGGATGAGCAGTGGTAATAGTCTCTATGCTGTAAAGTTATCTGGCGTTCGAAATAGCATGTCAACCAGTGTCCCTTCGATCATCAGCATTGCTAGAACAAAGTCACTTTCCCATCAAACAACTTCGCTTTCTTATGACAGTCGAGATAGCAGAATTTGGGTAGTTGACAGTGGTAGTTATAAAGTTCATTCCTATGACGTGAGTCCGTTTGGTGATGTGTTGGTACAAAAAGAAACCCTCGAGACGGGCCAATACACGCGTGGCTTCGCGATTGTTCGGCAATTTGGCGTGAAATACGCCGCCGTGGCTAAATGTGCGCTGGTTGCCGGATACCAATGCAAACTTGAATTCCATAAAGTTGACACTGGTGTCCTAGATGAATCGACTGTTCACAGAGTTGTGCGAACGCCCACTGGCCTAGAAGGTATCCAGACTGTGGACTCAGAACACCTCGTGACCGCCTTCTCGAGCGGGACGTTTTCGGAGAAGGACAAGATCGAACGAATAGCTGGCGATTTCGAAGACAGATTTTTCAAGTTTAAGGTGCCGATTCTTACAACCGGTTTTGACATCACGGAGAATTGTGTGTATTTGAAAGTAGCATGGGATTGGATTATCCCAGCCAAACGTCTGTTTCCTCTGGGCGAGATGAAGTGTGGTGAACGTAGAAAACGGAGCGCTTTAGAAAAAGCGTTGGAAGCTGATGTGTACACCGAGGAACTTGAGAGGCATAAGAGGGTACGACGTCAAACAACCGAAAGTGTAGCTTGCTCTTGGAATTTGGAGGGAGAACCCAAAACAGGTTTGTGTTTTGCGTTTATTGATAGATAGATTTATTAAAGTCACATCGGAGTAAAAACTGAATTGCGCGACTGTTACATGGTGTCAAGTTATGTACTATTTAACTGTTACTCGGTACTACACACGATGTTTTATAACTTTTATCGTTTTATTTAATGTATAGAATGTTTTTAAAACTGTTATTTACAATGCTTGAATATAATTTAGAATAACAATAATAGTTCAATCGTAACGTTTGTTGAACGTTTTTTGAGCACGCGAGGCGCGCCGCTGGTCGCTCGTACCAGTCTCTAAACTGTTCACATATATTATCGTTCATTACGCTATCACAGCCGAGCGTTTTATATCTGATAAAACACGACTACAAATGCTTTAAATGGCTTAAAATACGACTACAAAAGAATACTAATTTGGATGAACCATTATATAATCATACTAATTAGGATGAGTTTTATCAGATATAAAGTTACTCCGCGTGACATGTTGATTGTTGTGGCTGATATGATTTGCCACCAGGTTTATGAGGATTATAACATTATTTACAATAAGCTTTAAAGGCCTGTTTACACTTGGAATTTTTGCTGCGATTTTAAGTGCGATTTTTTCTGCTGACGTGATGGCGACATGAAATCGCCAATGTAAACACCCTGCGATTTAACTGCAATTCCAGTGCAACCTCACTGCGACAAGCTGCAAATATTTCGAAATTTATCGCAACTCACTGCGATTTTTCAAAAGCTGTGAACAAAATACGACTGTGCTACCCCTCAACGGCAGGCGTTGTCACCTTCAATAAAGGCGTTTATCAAAGCCAAGCAACATAAACTTATAAATATTTACAATTCTTCACTTTCACGCTGTTTTTAAAAGCAATATTGCACAGGTAAATCTACTATGTGAATGCAGTTAACAATAACATATGAAATAAAAACGAAGTACTGCAATACTATAAATATTTACCGCGTTCACTTTGGTCTTTGTCTTTGTAATAACTTTAGAACAAAAACTGGTGTTTCGGTCTATTCGTTTGTGCGCGAGTAGTAGTTCAATAGAGAAATCCCTTGGCTTTTTATACACTGTATTCTTATTGAATAAACTATTAAAAACAGACGACGAACAGTCGGGAATGTTTTTCTACAGCCAATCACTTATAAGAAAACAGCCGTAAACAACCTAATTAGAACAAAATCTTTGTATTGTTTGTGAACTTGAGTCGTGTATTGAAAATTTAATTCAGTTTACAAGCTACTAAAATGGAAAAATCGCTGCAAATTTCAGTGTTATCGCACCAAAGTTGCAGTCAAAATCGCAGGGTGTTTACATTGGAGATTTAAAAAAATCGCCGCAGAAATCGCAGTGAAAATTGCAAGTGTAAACAGGCCTTAAAACGCTTTTTTCCGTGTTGGTGTAGTGTACTCAAGTGAATATGATGTTTGTGATGTTACTTTGAGTGTATATCCACACCGGGCAAGCTTGAAAATATGCCTGACCACGGTGGGAATCGAACCTACGACCTTTGGAATACTAGCTCAATGCTCTGCCAACTGAGCTACGCGGTCAGAAAAATGCATGATTATTAGATTACATTCATATCGAAGGAACTAGATTCGGTTCCGAAATATCACATACTCGAACCGACCTAACCGCGTAGCTCAGTTGGCAGAGCATTGGGCTAGTATTCCAAAGGTCGTAGGTTCGATTCCCACCGTGGACAGGCATATTTTTCAAGCTTGCCCGGTGTGGATATACACTCAGAGTAACATCACAAGCATCAAAACTTTAAAACCTCTGTTCGCAGAGGTTTTATAGTTTATTGTAAATAATTGTAACTTTTGTCATTTAATATTGGGTACTACTAAACTAAGTTAAACCAAACTGAACCACGTTAATAAGTTCTATTAACCGTGATTAAATCTAAAGTTAGTGAACTCAAACTGAGCAAAACTAATACTGATCTGAACTGAGCCGAACTCAACTCAACTAAAGCCTGGATGAAACGAGGATGAGAGTGCAAGTGAGTTTAGCTGCTCTTAATGCTTTCCCAATGCCATCATCTATTCTATTTAAGTCGAAACGTGTTCGGAACACCTTTATTTTTATTTTGTCAATCTAGAGCTTGAAATGTCCCCAGTAACATTGCGTGACTGCCGACTCTCATCAACTCTCATCGTCGTGACCAGGGCTTAGCTTCACTTGTATTGAATATCTCTGTCAGTTCTAAACTGTTCTCCCTAGAAGTTAGTAAAAGCCGTTCGTTATTGTTAACAGATAATCTTTTACAAAATATAAGCGTTGAATAACAACAACAGCAACAACGACAGCAAAAAAGTACAACAGCACAAGCGACAGTAGCGACTGCAACAACGTCGAAAATAGCAACCCTACCCGCCCCTACGAGGAAAACTAAAAACAACAACAACAACAACAACAACAACAACAACAACAACAACAACAACAACAACAACAACAACGACTGTAACAACAACAACAACAACAACAACAACAACAACAACAACAACAACAACAACAACAACAACAACGAAAACAACAGCAGCAACAACAACAACAGCAGCAAAAACAACAAAAACAACAATGAAAGCGGAACCAACAGTAGTATCTTTAATATATATCTTTTTCTTAGGTTCATTTCCAATTCTTCCCGAAGTCGGCTTCTATATTATAGTGGTTGTGATTCCAGTGTACTTTTACTTCGGCGCTGATACACATTACTATGCGAACTACAGAGTCTCATTGTGTCTTCGCGAGAGAGAGGTACGACTTGCGATCATCCCTGGGGCATGGGTGACTGTATATGCAGGGGCAAGAATTTCTGTATTAATCATGCAGGTTGGTGTGACGGTAGAGGCAAAACTACTGGAAACCTACCTTATCCCTGAGGTTTCCGTTCGTGTCGACAAATGGCCGTTGCGTGCATGTTTGGAAATGAAGCTGCAAATGACTCCTTTATCTATTCGTGTCTACTTGTGGTATCGGTTCAGATCTATAAGAATCAGAGTGAAGAAATGGTTTAGAATTCGCATCTCAATCGGTTGGGGTTCAAAGAAAACGTTCCCTGAATGGACTTGGTCGTCTCGGTCTATCCATAAAACCGTACTCAGTACTTGCGAACGAGATACTGACAACACACCCCCTGGGGCAGGACAATGTACCGCAAAGCAGGTCGGGAATAAGAAGTATTTCGTCCAATGGCATGGCTTCACTGAGGACACAAAGATTCAGAATTATGTCGTCATAATCGGCTCGATCAGAGGGTCCGGCGATGACCATTATTCCATCCACGGAGAAAGACAGAGCTTGCTAGTTTCAGACCTCGACATCATGGATGGTCGTTCTGTTTACGCGGCCGTATATGCGTATAATGGTTTTGGATTAAAAAGTCCGATTGCTCATTGCCCGATGTTTACTGCAAGGCGACGGTCTCCGATTGTTACGTTCGTTCACGATGTCGAAACGTCGGGTGACATCGACTACCAATCGGATACAACCAGTCTTGCTGTGGAGTATGGTTTTGAGGGGACTTTTGGGGATCTTTCTAGCGTAAAATGGGGGATATCAAGTTCGCCGAATTGTACCTTGTCTGAAAGCGAGGCTGATGTTATAAGTTTGCGAGAAGTCGGGGAGAGCTACAGTATTAAGAAGACTGGATTAGAGTTGGCGAATGGTGGGAAATATTACATCCGGGTCCAACTTGTCAACCTCTTGGGATTGGCTACCGTGGCTTGCAGTGATAGCGTTACCATAGATACCACGCCACCTGTACCACGTGACTTCACGGTCGGGAAAGATGGTACGGGATTCGTACCCTCGGTGAGACGAATCGCTGGCAAGTTTCAACAATTTCTAGAGATTCAAAGTCCCATGGTGCGCTACGAATGGAAACTTATCGATGAAGACACCGGTAGTGACGTCATACCTTTTAAGACAATACCGCTGACCCAAAAGTCACCATTGCTCGACAGCTTAAGTTTGACCTCTGGGAAAAAGTACACCGCTGTACTGAAAGGTACTAATGCCGCAGGTCTGTACGCTACGGTAAATGTGTCGGGTATTATTCCTGATGATACAATCCCATCATGCAATGGACCACCACGTGACGTCATAAACTTCGACGACGTAATAGATAAAGATTTCGTACGGCAACTTAATAACCTCACCTATATGTTCTCGTGTCACGATGATGAAAGTGGTATCCAATCCTTTCACGCGGCAGTGGGCACTTACCCAGGCGGGGAAAACATCCACCCGTTTGTCAACATTGGTGAACTGGTGACTAGAATATCTGATGACTCCAAAACCACGTGGGTAGCTTTTGATGACGTAAATGTGACGTCATTGGTTCAGTATTACGTCACAATCAAAGTTCGAAATAATGCAGGCCTGATTAAGACGATTTCTTCAGATGGGGTACTTATGGATACAACGGGACCCACAGTGTTGCCAAGCTACATCAGAGATGGACCACATGGGACAGACAGGAATTTTAGTTCAGGTTTTGATATTTATCCAGCTCACTGGGAGAATGCATTTGCAGACGCTGAAAGCGGAATTGGAGAATACTTTGTGGGTCTGGGTACGAATCCTGGGTCAGATGACACATCAGCTTTCAAAAGCAATGGTTTGAGCACGCGATCGCTGGTCAGCAGTAGTAGTGCCTTGGAAAATGGTGTAACATACTATGTAACGGTGATAGCCTGTAACCGAGTGCGCATGTGTGTGAATGGTAGCAGCAACGGCGCTATGGTGGATTTCATGCCACCACATCCGGGCTCCGTCATTGCAGGTCACGTGGGACCACCACTGGAAGTCACATGGATCAACAAAGCAGCATGGGCCCGCTGGCAGTGGTGTCCAGCAGACAGAGCCAAGCAACAATTCATCGCCGACACATGTGACCTGCTGAGTTTCTACGACAAACATTCAGGAATAAAACGTTTTGGTTTATCTGTGCTCTCGTACGATACAGCCGAGCTGTTGGTCCCAGTCAAGACCGTGGGCCGCGTTGTAGTCAGCGGTGTACATGCAGTCATGCCTAATGGTGTTTTCTCTGTAGTTGTCGAAGCTGAAGATCGCGCCGGAGTTCGTTGGAATGCAATATCAGAATCGTTCATAATTGATGCCACTCCACCTTGGGTAGTCAAGCTTTACCATGGTAACGAAGGCCAGCCAATCAGATACACGAGTAGCCAAAATCACGTGTTTTCTGCGTACTTCGAGATAACCGAAGATCTGTCGGACATTGTTCAGTACAGCCTCGGCGTGTCGTCGTATCCCGAAGGCGATGATGTCATACAGTTCGCAAGCCACAAGCCTGATGTTGTATCTAATGTTATTCGTGTAAATTGGACATCGACAACAAAAACTTCTTTAGTAAATGGTCGGAAATACTACATCACAGTGAAAGGCACTAACTCTGCTGGTCTATTTATAGTAGCCACGTCACTGCCCTTGGTGTTTGACGACGAAGCACCATTAGTCACGCACGTATTGGACGGATGGGGTACGCAAGATGCTCAATACCACTCGTTTCCGAGTATCTACCGAATGCATTGGCGAGGCGTTACGGACGTTTCCGGAATTGAGGAAATTAAAGTATGTCTTAGCTCTACTCAAAATCCTAATACTTGTGACATCCATCCTTTGGTGAGAATATCGAACACCTTAACTTCATATTCCTTCACCAATATCAACCTACAATCAGGAACTTACTGCTACGCTTTACTGCAGCTCAGCGATAAAGCTGGTAACCTTGGAAACCATTGGACCAATGGCGTGTTAGTTGATACCAGTCCACCGACGAGAGGGCGAGTCAACGACGGGCAAGGTGGGCGAGATATAGTTTTCCAACGTGGAACTAACATGCTTTATGCAAGTTGGAGTGGATTTTTTGAAAACGAAACATCGATTCATCACTATGAACTTGCATTCGGGACATCGCAAAATAGTTCAGATGTTCAATCTTTTACCGATGTTGGTCTAGTCACTTCATCTGCAAGTTCGAACTTGCTCGTTTCAGAACTTAAAAACGGCGTGACCTATTACGCTCGAGTTATTGCGTTTAATATATTGGGGGTGCCGAGCGAGATGGCAACGTCCGATGGTGTTTTAATCGATTCAACTCCACCGACATTTTCGGCACCAGTTTCCGACGGAGTTTACCTGCAATTTGACCTTGATTATACAAGTCGTGTAACCTCGCTTTCTGTAAGTTGGAAATGTGAAGACACTGATAGTGGGCTAACTCAGGCATTTGTCGGGTTCGGGACTCAGCCTGGCATTCTGGATGTTGCGGGTTATCAGGTTGTGTTGCCTTACCAAACTATGTATACATTAGCTAATGTCATTCTGTCCCAGGGGTATAGATATTTTGCCACGGTCAAATGCGTCAACAGAGTCGGCTTGCAAAACTCGTTGTCCAGCGATGGCGTCACTATCGATGTTACGCCACCGTTGCTGCGTTACGTTAACGATGGCGAGAGCACTTATCAAGATGCTGACTATATTGGTCTTGGCTCTCACGTGACAGCTAACTGGAAATTCACTGACCCTGAGAGTCATG